AGTTAAGTTTCTATATTAATTTGAACCAATAACTTAAACTTAGATATCAATTTAATCTTAACCCTTAAAATTTTGAAGGAGTTACATTTTGAAGTAACTTATATAATAGGATTGATGTTTAAATATCTAATTGAAAGAAAAAAACATTATTCACATGGCAAATTAAACTTTAAAATCAAATTTATATTCTAGACCATATATATATTATGGTGGAGAAAAAAAGTCATATGAAGCGTTGAAAAAAAATTCTTTTCTCAACTAGGGTGAAATGAGCAATGGATGAAGAAAGACTCTCGGATCACCTGATGTCTTTGGGAAAATGTCGAGAAGACACAACATCTTCGTCATTCTACATGCAGTTGGAATGTTAAGCCTAATAGAATAATAAAACAGAAGACGTTGAGTGATCCAGGCGTCTTTCCAAAACACCGAGTGATCCATGCATCTTCCGAAAAATAATGTAGTAAATATTTCATTCAAACAAATAATGTTTCTAACACTCTAAATCAACTATTGTTTTCAACACAATATCTAAGTGATTATTTCATATTTATCATGTACATATTATTTATTAAATTATAGTATCTATCCTTAAACTAAACTTATGGGTTTAGTATTTATATTTTAATTTAAAATAATTTGGTATCTGTATTATTAATATTATGCATGAGTTAAAATGATCAACACCATTATACTATTACGTTAGTCAATTGATAAGATTTGTTTCAAACAACTCTTTTCATTTCGTCTTTTAATTGACACAAAGCATTCAAAGATTAGGCTTTTTTAAAACTAACAAAACTTTTTAGCTATATTAGTGATTTGAATTAAGACATAAATGGATCAAATTATGGTTAACCAAAATACATGGACCAGTTCCTAAAATAAAAGAGTAAAACGATGAAATCTATAATTTAATCTGTTTTGTTAATCTCTTACTACAAGACATAGTTTTCATCATCATACAATTATTATTGCCACCTAAGTATCCACTATGCCCGTCTATTCATGTCGATCGAAAAGCTTGCAACTATTCTAAATTCAAAGAACTGCAAAACTTTTTCAGAAAAGTTCATAAAAAAGCACTTCTCTTCCTTCCCTCTACTTTTATCCAATTCAACTCCAGAAAATAGAAACTTGTTTCCCAAGACTTCAAAATACTATAAGAGTGGGAGAATCGGAGTTTGGGGTTTCGGGCATATTATTTTATTTTTAAAGATGTTGAATTATTTTGTAAATTATTGTATATTTATCAAGTTTTCTTTACAAGTCACACCTAAATTATTAATCATTTATCTATCAAATTTTAAAATCTACATAGTTTTTTTAAAGTTTTTGAAGTTATATATCTATTAATCTGTTATAATCCCTTGACATGATCGTTAGTAGATCCATATAATCTATCAACTAAATTTATTATCTAACAATCATATCCATTTGTTCTGTCAACCTATAAATACCTATTATTATTTTATGTCTGACGAAGAGAGAAAAACACGCAATCTTATGTTATGAAGGCGAATTTCTAAAATTTTAAGAATATATGAAGTTATAAAATTGTAGAAATACGAAAATATATTATCAATTGAAAATATAAAAAAAATATTTAAAATATAAATTAATTTAAAATTTTCAAGAGGATAACTGCTCCATCCTTCTCCCCTTCGATTTATCTTTAGACACCAACACTAAAAATATTTATATAAATCATTATGTAAGAAATCACGTCGTCCATCGAGAGAAATTCTTTATCATCTTCCTTTTTTTTTTATATAACCACTAATATTCAATCTATAGATAGAACCGTACTACAGTCTAATCTCTCCTATCAGCGTAAATTTATCTTGCAATTGATGCTTTCTCAGGTTAGCTATCCAACTTTTTAGAAATGGGCTCAACATCAAATGTTGGTGGTCAAAAGCTTTCATCTTTCCGCAATCTAGGCCTATCAATCCATTATGTATCAACTCCCCTAGTCTATTTACGTTGACATAAGATTTACTTATATAATGTAAGAATAAAAAATTACTGATTTTAAATTGTTAAATAAGTATAAATCGAGGATTAAAATATTTTCTAAAAAATATTTTTAATTTTAATTTATTCAATAAACTTTCTTTTAATAGTATAGAGTGATTATAATATAATATGTGTTTAGAATTCTATTAATCAATTGACAATTTATACACTTTGCAAATAAAGCTTTTTGAACCCGAGACCTACAGAAAAAACAATATTCTCTACAGCCACTAAAATCAATTAATGAATTCATTCAATAATCTTAAATAAATATAAAACATTTTAATTATACATTTATAACTATATCCTACTCGTATATATTTCTGATTATATATAACCACCAAAACAATTAAAACACCATCAGTGTCAAAGTCAAACATGTATCGATGATGTGTTCCAAAATTTAATCCAATATCGCTTTACATCATTTCGTACTTGAAGAACATATCATGGTTTGGCTAAAAACATGCTACATGAAGAAGGTAAAACCAGACTCAGTGAGTTGAGAAAACATTTAAACTAGGTAAAACAGAATGGGGAAGAAACGTTTAATACTGAGTTACTGACAACCAAATAAAGAGGTGATGCAGGAAAAACAAACTTATATGACTGACGCAAGGGCAAAACAGGAAGCTTAGTTTCACAAGCTTTGTACAGGCAGAGAAGCCTACAGGCCACAGCCGCAGGCTTCATTCACCCTGCAATTTAGAACTCTCTCGTTTATTATTCTCCTACATTGATCAATTCTCTATTAAATTTGATATTGTACATATAAAAAAATTAGAAATCATAATTACCTAAATATTTTAGGATAATTGTATGATTATATAATAGTATTTGCCTAGAATTATTTTGGGTCAATTGACAATGAACGTACACACTCTTCAAATATAATTGTTTGAATTCGAAATTTTTAAAAATAATAACACTTTCTATTACTACTGAGATTGCATGGGTTCAAAAAGTTATTGGCTAATATTGATCAAAAGATATATTTTAATAAATTTCTCAATTGAAGGGTTTAATAAGGCAATTTTTCCAAAAAATCACCCTTACCCACTAATTTTCCATGCCCGTTCAGACTATATTTCCCGATATAACACCCTTTGCAGTAAGACGCGCCCATCTAGCGCCACGTGGGGTAAGACACTCCCCTGAAGCGAGCCTTGCTAAATGTGTAAAAAATTCGGGTGTTAATTTTATAAATATTTTTAAAATAGTACCTAATATGTAATTAATTTCTTTTAGGGTGATATTTGTGTAAAAACATCAACTTTATTTATTTATTTTTTGTGTATGAAAAAAAATTCTATATTAAAATCTTTAAATATTCTTTTGCAAATTATTTTATAACTCGATAATGTCGAAAAGATTTTTATCCCTTGGGGGCGAGATTTAGAAAACCGCATCATTTTTAATTATTCTCTTACTATTAAAGTTTAATTAAAAACATTGCGATTTTAGAAAACCTATCGTTTCGAAAATTTAGAAATTCCTTAAAGATAAAAACATGTATGGTTCAAGGAATCACCACCAATCTTTGATTAGGGTGTGATTGAACATCCAAAAACATTTTTCATTTTAAATAAAAATTAATTTTACTTAAAACGACAATTTGAGGTCTGCGTTATCAAAATATGGGTTCGAGAGTCAATTACGCGTGAGGAAGGATTAACACCCCCACAGCGCGTTAGATCGGTACCTAATCGATTAATTAATGTCTTTGCAACGAAATTTACAAATTCGAATTTAATTTGATTTATGATCCTTCAAACAACAAAATACGAATTTTATAATATTCAAAATCAACGAAATATGTTAAATTAAAATTACAAGCTATTAGAAAGATAAAGAATATTCGATTATTTAAAAATATTGAGACCAAATCTTTAGGTTCTAACGACCTTTTCTCAATAAATTTAAATAGTCGAACAAATCTTTTTCTTTCATTCACAAATTTTAAAGTGATGAATCAATTTTTAGATGTCGCTAATGGGATACACTTTAAATTTAAAATCGTCAAAAACGGATCTCTAATCAGTTAAGACAATCCACTTAAAACAATTTTAAATTAAAAGGGTATTACCTTTAATTCAATAATGTAATAATGTCGAGTTATGCACGTGAGGCTATCATACAAATCATACAAAAATGATGTATTGTAAAAATTAATTAATCAAATATTATGATTAAACATATCATGCAATGTGACATTTTAATACAAAAATTCTATTAATATTTTTTATAGCTATAAATTATAAACTATATATATATTAATATGTAATGCACAAATGTGACTTAAACATACCAAATAAAAACATAACATCTCAAATTAAAAATTTTAGGAAATAATTATACTTATTAAAATAAGGACTAAATTATATTAAACCAAACTTTACTATTTTAAATACAAACAAAATAATAATTGAAATGGACATGAATATTACACCAAAATAAACAATGACACTAAAATAAAACAGGTTAATGGAATGGACTAAAACTATAATAAACCCAAATACTCATAACCAAAATGCAACATGCAAAAACTTAAAGGTTATGTCTAAAATAGCAAAATTAAATATATTACAAATTGGGGATGAAAATAAAATATTCAAAAATATGAAGGTCAAATGTTTAAAACAGCAAAGATTCAACTACAGCAATAGTTAGGACTAAAATTAAACGCACTTGAAATAAAGAAACTAAATTAAAACACAAACGTTCAAATTAAGGACTAAAATGAACCATAAGCAAAACCTGAATGACCCAAAGGTCAAATCACCCGAAAATTGCAAATAAAACTGAAACTTGAAAAAAGCTAAATCAAGACAATCAAAACATAGTAAATTCGAAATCAGACCCTACAGGTGACCAAAATGTAAATAAACGCTAAACTTAGGAGGATTAAAACTTAATTAACCCTAAAGTTTTAATATATATCCTAACTAAAATGATAAACCTAACCTAATTCTAAACTAAACAACCCAGCCGCATTCTCTTCATCTTCTCAAACGTTCCCCTCTTCTCTACTCTCCCATCTCTACTTGGTGATAACATTAAAAAACCACCACCATTTTGACAGGTAGATGATTGAGAACGAAAAGATCTATTCACCATCAATTGCTTTGACTTCTCTTTGGGGCTATCACCAAAATATTTAGACAAAATGCGTGACTAGTAAACAACCGGATTTAGGAACTTCAGACCTTTCCTTTACTCTCGGCCATGTACATGCGAAACAAAGAGAAGAGGAAGCTCATGGAATTTTTAGTTTTTCTTCAAGCTATCAGGAACCAGTTTTTCATTTTATTTTATTTTTCAGACCTTTTCTTTAGTCTCGTTTACAGATTTTTCCTCTAATTTTACAAATGAAAGATATGCTCAAAAGAACTCACCGGTGGGCTTCGAAAGGTAAACACTATACTAATCTTTATTTTTATTTAAAAATTTTAAAATATGAGAACTAACCCGAATAATCTATATGCAAGGCTTTAATCAATCTAAGGATGTAACCCTCATCTTCACTTCAAACATAATGCAGATGATGGCCCCCTGCTCTCGTTTCACTCACACTCGGCGATGACCCCAAGACAAATAACACTTACCCGAGAACAAAAAATCGTAAGAAAATCTCTCTTTTTTGAATTACCCGTATTCATTCTGTAAACCCACACAAAACACTAAGAAATATCAAACAGTTGGTACCTAGATTTGAATTGCTTCCTCTCGAAAAGAAGTGGGATCGCTTTTACAAATGCCTTTGGGGTTTAATACCCGATTACAACATTTCATTTAATGTTTTTTTTTCCTGCTATTGATTGCTAAATCGACCCCCTTCGAATCCTCCTTTCTGTTATTGATGAACCCCGATTTTATCTCCATTGTCTTCACCCAATTTCCTTGTCATCTTCTTCATTTTTCTTTGTTATTTGGTGAAATATTGACAGGTTTAGGTATTGACTTTGGCACAAATTTCTGCTGATTTTGCTTTTGTTTGCTGCTGAATTGATAATAATGGCTTTGGTGGCTGCTTGATTAGCGGCGACTCATACGCGTGGAAGGGAACAGCTGTAAAGCACACATGCATCTCTAGTGACCGGTGGGTCGGATCCGAACTTGGTTAGGGTCTGGACCGATTCGAGTTGATTTTTGGGCACCAAGATTTGTTGTAATATGAGTTTGTAAATTGGGCCTGTAAATGTAAAATATAATAATTAATAATAATAATATTATTATTATATTTTAATATTTTAATATTTATAATATTTTTTTAAGTCTGGTCAAAAACGTGTATCTATAGATAAATTTTGAATTTTTGCATGAAATTAAATAATACGTATAATCTAGTATAGGAAATCTTTGAGGGTAAGTGTTTTAAAATATGAATAATTTTATAAAAATTTTATAACTATTATTTCTTTTTCAAAATGATAATGATAATAAATATTTTATAATTTAAAAAATTATAAATTTTATATATTTTTTAAAAAAATTGACTTTATTTTTTATTTGTATTGAATTTTATTCACTTTTAATTCTTTTTTATTACATATTTATACTTTTAATTACAATTGATAGATCAAATGAATTATTATTTACTTTTTTTTTAAAATCAATAAAAGTACAGTAATAAATAATTAAAAGTCAATAAAATTCAATAAAAAAGAATACAAAGCTAAAACAAATATCATTTCTTTATTTAAAATATTCTTTCTAATATTATTTTTAAAAAATATTAAATAAATATTAAATTCTAATTTTATTAAAAATTAATAAACATTATTAATTTTAAAAGCTTAATTTTATATTTTTTATATTTTTAAACAATTAATTTTAAAAGTCAATTTTTTTTCAAAAATATATAAAATTTATAATTCTTTTAAATTATAAAATATTTATCATCATCATCATTATCATCATTTTGAAAAAGAAATACTAGTTATAAAACTTTTTATAAAATTGTTTATATTTTAAAATACTTACTCTCAAAGTTTTCCTATACTAGATTATATGTATTATGTAATTTAATGAAAAAATCTTACAATTGATAGATCAAATAAATTATTATTTATTTTTTTAAAATCAATAAAAATGAAATAAAAATGAATAAAATTCAATACAAAAAAGAATATAAATTCAATTTTTTTCAAAAATATATAAAATTTATAATTTTTTAAATTATAAAATATTTATTCTCATCATCATCATCATCATCATTTAGAAAAAAAAATATTAGTTATAAAACTTTTATAAAATTATTTATATTTTAAAATACTTACCCTCAAAGTTTTTCTATACTAGATTATACGTATTGTGTAATTTCATGCAAAAATCAAAATTTGTCGAGTTATAAAATAATTTGCAAAAAAATATTTAAAGATTTTAATATAGAAAGTTTTTTTCACACACACCAAATAAATAAATAAATAAAGTTGACGTTTTTATGCAAATATCATCCAAACAGAAATTAATTACATATTAGACATCATTTTAAAAATATTTACAAAATTAACACCTAAATATTTTACACATTTAGCACAGAGTTTCAGGAGCACGCCATACTATAAAGAGTGTTAAATCAAAAAATATAATTTAAACGGTGTCCGATATAAAAAAAATTAATGGGTAAAAATGATTTTGTTGAAAAATCGCCGTTTAATAGAGTGTAAATGCCTAAAAGGGCAAATTTTTTCTTTTTTTAAATTTGGAAGTAGTTTTCTGTGACACCTCAAACTTGATTGAGACAGTTCAATCCGAATCCAAAGCTACGCATTAATTACCGAAATGATTCAGAACAAAAATCACGTCAAATTGTATAATACAAACAAAAATCTCTTTGCGTACATTTGTGGAGACTTACTCGGATAGTCATCAAGAGCATGCTTTTTGGAGAATCTTAGTGCTCAAGCGAAAGAAATAAAACTCCAATGTTTGCCTCTTAATGTGTTAGTTTACGGAATGTAAGATTATCAGTGAGAATAAAAGATTATCAGAGAATAGGATTACTGAGAATGTTGTATTTTGTGTTTGGTTAGTTTAGCAGGAATGTAAAATTACTGTATTTAGTTAAAAGAATAAAAGATTATTGGAATGTATATTTAACCAAATTGTCCTTATTATATATTTGTATAATATTACAAATTGTAAAATTTTTATATATTTTCTTTAAAAAATTAAATTCATAATATTTATATAAATTTTTTTACAAAATTAAAAATATAAAAAAGATTTAATGAAAGGGTAATATTTTTTAATCTCCGAACTTCATATAAAATTTTAATTATAGATTTTTTTTTGTAAATCTAAAATAATTTAAGGATAAATTTGTAATTTAACCTTCGTAGAATTTTTATTATTCAATGATAGAAGAAGAATATTTTTGAAAAAAAATAAAAATTTAAGGGCATTTTAGTCCAAAACGCCGGTAATCCAACAATACCTAAGGAAAGGGAGGTAATGACATTCTCGATAATATATCCCAAAAAATCTACTATTGGTAATCTTACATTACCGGAAATAAGATTCTCGAACTAACCAAACGGGAGAATATAGATTATATTCCTATAGGAATCTCACATTCTCCCCTCCAAGGGGGTGTTTGGTTCAAGGATTGTGGGATTCCCATGGGACGGGAATCCCACATTCCCATGTTTGGTTGGCCGGGAATCTCATTCACAGTAATGTTTTATTACCAATAGTAGATTTTTTGGGGTATATTATCGGGAATGTCATTACCTCCCTTCCCTTAGGTATTGTAACATTACCGGCGTTTTGGACTAAAATGCCCTTAAATTTTTATTTTTTTTCAAAAATATTCTTCTTCTATCATTGAATAATAAAAATTCTACGAAGGTTAAATTACAAATTTATCCTTAAATTATTTTAGATTTACAAAAAAAATCTATAATTAAAATTTTATATGAAGTTCAAGGGTTAAAATAAAATTTTACCATTTCATTAAAATTTTTTATTTTTAATTTTGTAAAAATATGTAAAAATATTATGAATTTAAATTTTTTTAAAGAAAATATATAAATATTTTCCAACTTGTAATATTATACAAATATATAATAAGGACAATTTGGTCAAATATACATTCAATAATCTTTTATTCCTTTAACCAAACACGGTAATCTTACATTCCTGCTAAGCCAACCAAATACAAAATACAACATTCCCAGTAATCTTATTCCATGGTAATCTTACATTCTCACTGGTAATTTTACATTCCGTGAACCAAACGCATCCTAAAGGTATTGCAATATTAATATGTATTAAGAGAGAGTTTTTTCCTATTACCCAAAATACATGTTTATTTATATGGTATCATATTAGACTTTCGATCAAAAATTTTTATTTCAATGAATATATTTTTTTGTTAAAAATTTGCTCTAGATCTGACCAAGAACCAGTTGAAATATGGTGCACATAGCATCGAAAGGTGATGTTGAAAAAAAAATGAATTAAAAATGGGGCACCGAAAATTAGTTGGTGTTTTGGTTGAATTTCAATAATGGTAAAATCTCATTTTTAGTTATTGTAATTTAGGGTATTTACAAATTAGTCCTTAAGCTTCAACTATAAATACCATAGCTCATTTTACTTCAAAACCATCCCAAAAGCATTCTAGCTTTCTCCCAATACTAGAGAATTTAAAGAGTTTATTGAGAGTTGTTTTTTCCTTTTTATCAAGAGAGAAATATCATTGTTTTCTCCTTGGTAGATCGAGAGAAGTTGTAATTCCTATTTTCTCATAGTGAAATTCTTCTACCGTTGCCCGTGGTTTTTACCCTATATTATTTAGGGATTTTCCACGTAAATTTTGTCTCTTTTATCTTCCATTTTTTTCTCAAATTATCAGTTGCGATTTTGCTCTATCCGATAGCCGTCTTCCGCAACAATTGATATCCGAGCCAGATTTGAGTGTGTAATATCTGTTTATTGTCTTTGTGGTTGCCACCACCAAAAGGTGGATTCTCCAACATAAGAAAGTAAGAAAGTATTACACATTCTTTGAAGGTTACATATAACTATTCAAGATAGTTAAATAGTGGGAGTTATCCGTAATAGAAGCTATGACAACGAAATTTGATATTGAAAAGTTCAATGGGAGAAATTTCTCATTGTGGAAATTGAAGATGAATGTCATCATGAGGAAAGACGGTTGTCTAGCAGGTATCAGTGAAAGGTCAGTAGATTTCACAGTTGACAACAAATGGATCGAGATGGACGGGAATGCTATGGCAAACTTTCATCTAGCATTAGCAAATGAAGTATTTTCAAGCATCGAGGAGAAGAAGATAGCTAAGGAGATCTGGGATCATCTCACCAAACTGTATGAGGCCACATCGTTGCACAATAAAATTTTCCTTAAGAGAAAATTATACACTCTCCGTATGCCAGAATCTACTTCAGTGACGGAGTACTTAAATACACTAAACACTTTATTTTCTCAGCTTACATCTTTAAGCTGTAAAATAGGAGAACAAGAACGTGCTGAACTTCTACTTCAAAGTCTACTGGATTCGTATGATCAACTCATCATCAACTTGACAAACAGTAATGCCACCAGTCTAGTCTTCGATGACGTTGCAGCTGTTGTTCTACAAGAAGAAAATCGGCGCAAGAACAAGGAAGACAGATAAGTAAATCTGCAATAAACAGAAGCGTTGACAACGATGAGAGGGAGATCAACAGAACGTGGCCAAAGCAGCAGTCATAAACATGGTAGATCGAAGTCGAGGAGCAAGAAGAATTTAAAGTGTTACAACTGTGGAAAGAAATGTCACTTGAAGAAGGATTGTTGGAGTCTAAATAAAAACTCCAATCCACAAGGCAATACCACAAACACTTTAGATGATGAAGATGCTCTATGCTATGAAGCGTCAACCACCGTGGAAGGTAGAAAGAGATATGAAGATATATGTCTCATTGATTCGAGAGCAACATATCACATGACCTCAAGAAGAGAATGGTTCCATCATTATGAACATGTCTCAAGAGGATCTGTGTATAGTTGCAATGATCATGCCTTAGAGATCGTTGCCATGGGAACCATCAAATTGAAGATGTATGACGGAACAATTAAAATTGTTCGAGATGTGCGACACGTGAAAGGCTTAAAGAAAAATTTATCCTACGGATTGTTGGATAATAATGCAAGCAAGATTGAAACACGGAATGGAATCATGAAGGTGTTACGTGGAGCACTTATGGTGATGAAAGGCGAAAAGATAACAA